CGCTACATAAATTATGATATGTAATGCAACAAAGCAAAGCGCTATAACTTTGTCATTCTCATTTTAAATTTCATTGTTCAAAAGCAAAAATGTCGGAAATAACATCAAATTTTAGAATCAGTTTATATTTGTTCTAATTGGCCACCTTTGGCACGAATTATGGCCTTCAAACGGCAGAAAAACCATAACGCGCTGCACGAAAGTGGCTCTGGGGTATTTTGGCCCATTCCCGGCGAGGCGCCTTCTTCGGATGATCAACACTTTGGTATTTTTCAGTGCGAACCTTACTCTCCAAGATACTCGTCCAAGACACAAAAGTCCATCGAATTTAGATCCAGAGATTTTGTTGGCTATTGTGCGATGAAAATGTAGCGAAAGACCTCTTTTATAAGCCATTTTTGGTAGACGCGTGCTGAGTTTGATGGTGCTGAGTCCTGTTGAAATGTCCATGGTCTGCGACCGAAATTTTTGTCTACCCAGGACTTCAATACTGCCTTTAAGACATTTTCCCGATAATTTCGGCAATTATTTTGATCCCACGGTCGATGAATAAGAGCGGAATGTCACCATCGGCCGTTACGATGGTTCACACCATTACCGTCGGCGGCGCTTGAGTTCTGGTGGTGTATCAAATCAATCAAAGGTGTAAATTTTTAGATGACCTTTTTGTCAAGTAAACCCTATCATTTTGTTTGTTCACAAACTGCTCGATTTGGAAGGACTTCCCATTTGAGAAAACCAAATTCGGTAACTATCCACTTTCGTGCAAGCGAAGCAACCCCTTGGCTCCTTCCCAACTAACTTTTTTTGTGCATCGATGAGCTCTTGCACTTTTTGGAACTTCAATGGCTTTAGTCCAAGCTCATTTTTCAATATATGTTGCATCCGTTTTTGCGATATGTTCAGCTCACGACACGAATTTCGATCTATTTTTGCCTGTACTTTTTGGATCATTTCTGGGGTTGTTAGTGTTTTTTTGGTCCACTTTTTGGATGCGGTACAATACTGAGTGTATCACGGTTATGAGATATGGTACGAGAAACAAAATATTTGTTCGCATTTAAATGCTGGAGGGTTCTAAATTTAGCCACTTAAGGTTTTCCAGCCAAGTATGAAGCAATCGCACTATGAATGCGATGGAAGTCAAGCACTATCACGCTTGACTTCCATCACGAATAACTTTTTTTCTGAATGCAATAGATCAAAATGCTTTTCTACAATTAAATGAACAATCACTGGAATAAATCTGCCATCTGTCTGATGAGCGGTTTAGAAATGATAGCGGTCGAAATTGATTGCAATACATATCAGCCCCTGTATATATATTGTATGATTCTCAATTTGTTGTTGACGTATGTATTAAAAAATAAAAATCGGGCATAACATCAATAAAAAACATTAATTTCTTTCAAAAATTTATTTTACATCCACACGTTTTGGCTATAATCCTAGCCTTCATTCAGTGGAGACTAAAAATAAAATTAGCAATTAAAACAATTGAATTGGAGAAAAAAAATTATAAAGAGTAAAACGTACTTACATTTAGTTAACGTTAGTGTTAAAATAGAAAATTCAATAATCCATGATATGAGGACACAACATAGTGATGCACTACACTATGTAATATAAACATTAAACTTGTAATTAAACAATATTTCACAAAATACTAACTTAAAAAAATCAAAAACAGATAATGTGTAATATATGTGTTGAAACTGGTTGAAGATATAACGGAGAAAAGATTTTTTTAAAAATATTTATACCAACATGTGTGAAACGAACTGCTAACATTTTTATTGTTTTGTAAAAAATTTGGAAATACTATCTAAATAAAAAGTTCTAATTTAAAAACCTCAGATAATAAAATTATTACTAACTGGTATCAAAAACCAACGGTCTGACATATCTTAATTTTCATCCTACTATCCAACTGGCATTAAAATTGGTACTATTATCAATTTAATTGATCATGCTATTCTACTTTCAGATAAAAAAATTGGACTTTTAACATATCCTTAATCCATAAAACTTCAATAAATAATTGCTAAATAAGTCCACCCTCACAATTATCATCTTTTTATTCTATGAACCCTTCTCGATTTTAAAACTTTAACTTCTATGTTGCGTATTTGTCCCTTTACCTAACTTAATATGTGGTTTGCACATTTCTGATTTACTGCCGCCTCGGATGGTCTAAGCAATATGTTACTCTCTATATTAAAAAAAATTATTTTGAAAATATATATAATTGCTGATTTAAACTGACAAGTATTGGACTATTAGTGCTATTGTGAATTATTATTATCTGAGATATTAAAAGCATTCTAGTTTACATGTAAGTTTTTACACTATATTAAGGTAAACGTACCATATTACGGGATGTTAAGGAACGTTTGACCTTAAAGACGAATTTTAGAGAAAATAGGAAAGTGGACAAACTAAATCTGTTATATTTTATTAATTAGACCTTTAAGATTATTACAAAACAAGATCGTCGTAGAACGTCATTTATAGAAATAATCGGCATTTTGCTGAGGCACGCGTTTGTCCCTAATCCCGTGATAAAATTGTGCTCGTGAACATAATGCCGGGAGTCGTTGTACGTTATTCCGTGATAACGCTCGAAGCATACATTTTTGATCGTATTGTCATGATAAATATAGTTGAATATGTTATAAAAAGTACTGTTAATTATAAAATAATACTTTGATATGATTTTAAACAATTATTTAGTTTTATAAAAGTCATAAAATTATAATAAGTTGAAAAACTTCTAAAATAAAAATAAAATAAAAGCTGGTATTATATTATAGTAATAGCAGTATAATAATCATTATCAATACTGTTTCGGTAAATCAAATAAATGAAACAATAAAGGAATATTTTTTAACGGCAATTAAGCAAAAATATAAACTTAAAATAAATATAAAATTCAAACTCAAAATAAAAAAATTAAACTTGAAATAAAAGTTACAATTCTGCCAACAAACGTAAATCTTTAGACTTTAAAATAATCTTTAAAGCCTTTCAAGTTAACAATAAATACTACCTTAAATTACGTTTGATTGGGAATTTTGTATGTTTTAGAAGCTTTAAAGTACATTTCATATAATATGGCAAATTTCTTTTAAAGCCTTTTCCAGGGTTTTGGGTGAATATTTAATTGGAGCCATCGTTCTTTGAAAAACTGAAAGACTGATTTAAAATCAGACCCAAATAAATTTACTGATATTGAATATAATTTTAATAATATTTAATAAACTGTATTAGACTATTAGAAAGTTACTGCATTGAAGAGTAGCCTCGGCAACTTATTTTCGAGTAATTGCAATTCATATTAATTTAATAACTTACGATGTATGTTCATTTTAATAATATGCAGGTTATATACTGGTTATATTCCAAAAGCTTAATCAGAAAAACTATCGTGTTTACAGGAATGTCCCTAGATATCTGCATGCATACATACATATCAGCGCCCTAGAAGTACCGTGCGCTATACGGGGTATACCTGTATTTTTATTCAATTTATATAATAGAAATAATTGATCATAGATGAAAAGGTAGAAATAAATGATTCTCTCATTACTACAATGTTCTAGGTATATTAAAACAATGCAAATAAGTGAAAAAAATCGTGTACTTTCTTACGAAAGTGTGGTCATTTCAAACTCAATTATAAGGGTTAAAAATTTAAAAAAACATATACCGTAATTACGTTACAGTATTCTGTAGTCATTAACAAACTTAATAACACCAGAAACACCGCCGAATTTAAGAACAGTTGAAAATAAAAGATAAAACTATTTCAATTCTACTTCTCGTAATTGCGGGATACTCACGGAATTACGTTCACTGGTTCAGTTGTGTGAACCTAATTGCCGGAGTCATGAAATTGACAATTTCTTGACAAATATATGCTTGATTTAACTATAAAACTAATCTCTTATTATTACTGATCAAAAATTTCACACATTTGAATCGATTAAGCTTATCGGAATCGAATAAAAACCTTAAGCAATGGAACCGTCACCAAACCTAACTCGCTAACAAGCTAGTACAAAATGGCGATCGGGTTACGACCGATGCTTTCAAAAGCTTTTTACGGCTTTAAAAACTAATATTTAAATTCGAAAATCGTACTATTTTATTAGGATCCAAATTATAATTGATGTGCTATTGAAAAAAATTATTATTTATTGACCGTTTTCTTATTTTGCGATCAAAATGAAAAACTCCCGTAATAATGTACTATCCCGGAATAATGTACATTTACCTTACTTATTTATAAATTAGTTTTAGTTAATTGTTTCATTGTCACATAGTTTAGTTTTCTTTATATTTGTTTCTTTCAAACTGTAGTCCACCAAATAAAAAACAAAATAATGAAAAAAGTGTTATAATTTTTTACAATTTTTTAATTGATGTATTGCCTTGAAGATTGAATCTCACATATATCAACATCAAAATTATTGAAATATTTTAACAAATATATATATATATATATATATATATATATATATATTAGGGTGGTCCTTAATATGGACATTTTCGAATTTCCTTGCTTCCAAGAGCTCAAATGGTTCCAAATTGATAAAAAAAATTCTGAAAGTTTTAGCTCTTAATGTTGTCTTTTAGATAGAGCGTAATTCAATCAAAGCACAAAAAAAATTTCAAAAATTTTGCAGAACATCGAATTATCAATAAAAAATGACACGGATTTTCACTTTTAATTTGTCGCTTAGTTATACCTACATTTTTTTTTTAAATTTGCAAAATTTTTTTCATGTTATTTCCATACGAAATTGGATTGAATTGCGCACTATCTAAAAGTTAATATTAAAAGCTGAAACTTTCAAAGAATTGTTTTTTATCAATTTGGAACCATTTGAGCCCTTGCGAGCAAAGAAATTCGAAAATGGCCATATTAAGGACCACCCTAATATAAATACATATATATATATATATATATATATATATATATATATATATATAAATACCTCGTAATTTTAGCCGCCGTCATTTCCTGGTAGCAAATGGCACAAACGTCGGCCAGTTGTTCCAAGTCTTCTTTTGTCGCTTCCGGCAAGGACCTAATTTTATGTACAGCTGTCCTACGTTTCATGAAAACTCCCCACCCAGCTCGTGCTTCACACCATATATTAAAATATGCATGTACACACATCATCACAGCCCGAATAGCTCCACCTGCAAAAATTCCAACAATAAATTACACTTTAATTAACTTTCCGTTGGGCGCAACTTATCTGTCAGGCATGCACACATTAAAGACAAAACATTTCAATATGACAAAAACTTTCCAAAATAAAATAATATAATAATAAAAGTAAACTAAGGAAAAAAACTGATATTTTAAAAATAACATTATGCAATATTGAATGTTATAACAAGCTAAACCTATCTCCTGCACTGGTAATATTTTGAAACTGGTCTACAACTGCATCAAATATTGTTGAATTAAACAAAGCTTGTTTTAAATTTAACAACAAGAATAAAACGATTTATAAAAAAGATTGTTATTTTTTTAATCACCACTGTACCCATAATTACAAGATATAATATCAAATGTAATTAAAAAAGTAGCAAGTAATTTTATAACTGGCATCTTATGAGACAATTTGTAGGAAACATCATACATAAGTATATAAAAAAGAATAGGTAATTAACACATATCGTATTTTATCGAAAAACGGAGACTTAGTCGATTTGTGATCAGGAACATTTACACTAGGTTTACATTTCGTATCGAATTGACCTAATGCGTATTTAAAATTTGTCAGTTGAAAAGTATAATATAAGGTTTCACATATAAATATAATGTAAATTGTTATAATATCATGAAATCTAGTATATATTTTTTTAAGATAGCATTTTTACATATTATCATAAAATAGCCTGTTTTTATTTGCATTATACGTTTAGAAACTGTTTTAAAATGCTGATGTTTCGAGTGACACAATGATATTATTGTTAGCAATTTGATTGTATACAAAATTACATGATAATGTCAAGTTTAATGCCTCTCAAGTAACATGTACTATATTTACTTTATCAAGGTATAATGTTAGAAATTAATCAAACATATAATCAATTTATCAAAATCATAATTGTAAATAAAATATCTATCAATAAAATTATAAATTTACGAACACAAATAATTAAGTTTAGTACTTTGGTTTTTTGAGCATTTCATTCCAAGGTTGCTGTAAACCTAGTGTTAAACTTCCTAAATCAATCTCCCAATATGTATAAAATATATACTCGTAAATACACTAATCTAGAAAAACATTTAAAAATTAAATAATTGAAGTGTGCGTTTAAGACTCATCACTATGCCTGAACAAGAAACTCATAGTGCGCCCAATGGACAGTTAACAGTAATGAAGTAATAAAAGAAATATTATTACTGTACACCGCGCTAACGCCGGACTCAATCACGCCATATTCTCTATAGTCCGGTTTCAAATCTTAAAAAAAATTCAAAATTACATGATTCATAAATACTAGTAGTTAAAAGACTATTTTATTTTCAATTAATAATATATACAGTAGAACCTCGATTATCCGGACCTCGGTTATACGGATTCGCGATTATCCGGACATAATCGCGTCGGAACTATTCCGCCGCTGTTTCGCTGCCCCGCGCGACATTATCGCTTTATGTAGTTCGTTTGCAATAAATATATATATATTTATTATATAAATTTATATATATATATATACTAGCTGACCCGGCAAACGTTGTTTTGCTAAGTAAGGTATATTCTAAACAATTTCTAGAGAATCAAAAATATTAATACTTTAAGTGTAAAAGAATGTGTTGTTTGATTGCTATAAACCCCATTAGTTTGTCTATATTTTATCAATACAATCAAACTGGAAGTTTTATACACTTTCTATAGAAAACATGGTATAATCCAATCCAAGTCATTTTTGGTCTTTCGACTTATTGATTACGTTTCAAGTTTTTCAGATTCTTTTTTAATTCAGGATTTTGTGTATAATTGTAAATAATACTACTGAGCTTATACACAATTTTCAAATTACTGCGAGGAGAGAGGAGAGATAGAAAATGAAAAGTTTCAAGTAACATTCGATAAATTGAAGTAAATTTAATAAAAAGCATATATGTAGAGCAGGACGAGGCACAAAGATCCAATTTGACTTTGAACACATATTAATTATATTATAAAAATCAAACCAATTATATAACAACATATAACACATTTCAAGCAAACAATTATCTGACTGCGTTCAGTAAAACTGCCAGCTACTTCATCATTGTAGAAATGTGCTTTTTTGCTGTCTTTCAAAAAATTGTTGTCTAGACCTTTTTACCCCATAGACAGGGTAACTTGGAACGGCCAGGTGGCAAACAGGTTGAATGTCTTATTTTAATTTTAAAGGTATTTTACAAAATAATTACACTTTTAACTAATGCTAAAAAACTGCCAAAGGAAGAAAATACTTTTATTGTGAATTTTCAAAGATTACAGTTTATCTCGAGATAGCAAAGTCATAAGAATTAAGGTTATAGCTGCTTATACATTTTTTCCCCTCTAATTTTCAACTCCTTGTTAAACGATGCTTAACTTTACTGGTTTTGGACACATCGCTGGTGGACCTTTTTAACCTCAGACCTTCATATATTACTATCTATTCTTCGATAAATTCTACGAAATTATAACTGCGAAAATGTTATTCGGCAAAATGTCCCTTTGATCGATACCAAATTTAGGTTTTGAATTTAAATAACTTAAATAAAAAATAATATAATCTAGAAAATGTTTTATAAATACTAATGAGTATATAATTATACAAATGAGATCTATCAGAGCACCGTGTTTGAAAAAAAAATGCCAAAAAGTGCATTTTCATATTAACATTTCAAAAAAGTTGATATTTAGTTTCTAGTAACACTTGCGGTCCGTTTACTAACGTTTTTATATATATAAATAAAACTGCAAACCAAACTTTTTACTACAATTTATTCATAATTAAATAATATTCACGTAAAACATCCTATTAAATGTAATTGAACATCATCTGTCAAAATCGTTTGACATTTCACGTGTTAGCCACCGTCCATTGTTTTATTCAAGGAACGCTTCTACAAAAATTTTCAATTTAAAAATGTAAAGTTTCTGCGCGATTTTGAAATAGTTTCTCACCTTTCCGACCATCTCTGGACTGGCACGAATTTTTCAAGACTAAGACTGGCCAAATCGATTCAGCCGTTTTCGAGTTTTATTCGGACATTTGAAAGAGCGCTCCATTTTTATATATAAGAAGATATTTATTATTATATATATTATATATTAATGTATACATTAATACATTCTCTGTTTTGACGTGCATATATACATTTTTAAAGGGCAGTGTTATCCCTTAAAGATAAAATAAATATTATAGAATCGTTAAAAAAGGCGAAACCGGCCGTAAGTTAGCTGATAGGTATGGTGTAGGTACAGTACATCCACTATAAGAGATATTAAAAAGAATGCCGATTCAATTTTGTCGTACACTTGCAAGTTAGATAGTGAAGAGGGGAGTTAAAGTTGGAAAATGTTGAAGAGACCGAAAAATGAACTCTTAGAAGAAGCTCTATATTGTTGGTTTTTACCAAAACGATCAACAAATTATTCGTAAGCGACTTTTCTTCTTAATTGACACTTTACCTGAATATTTTAGCTCATGATTAATATAATATGTATAATGTAATCTAAGAAAATATGCAAGTGTTAATTTTCTAAAAAACATCGATTTTTGTTGATATCTATGTATGTATTTGTTATTTTTGATAAACAAAACATTATTCTTCATAATTTGGATTATCCGGATGCCTATCGACAACAATTAGTCCGGATAATCGAGGTTCTACTGTATATAAAAAACAAATAGCAAAAAAAATCATGTCAAGAGTTGAGAGTCAAAGTTTTATATTAAGCATGTGCAATATTAACAATAACACTGGGTGACAAGAAATTTTTTTCCTGAGATGTTTTATGAATTTTTTTTAGTAATTAGAGTACGCTGATTCCAAAAAAAGTAACAAAACTTTGTTAACAGCTCTAGTTTTATATATATCATATATATATATATATATATATATATATATATATATATATATATATATATATGAGCCGTTCGGTGCACACAGTGACTAACTCCAGAAAACAGAAAGTGGAGAAAAGCAATGAAGTAATGCATTGCTTTTAAAAATTCCTGTAATAATATAAGTTGGAAAATATAATGTAGAACGTATAAATACATACTACATAGTAAATAGTGAGTAAATGATTATAATTCAAGTTAAAGATTTGATATGACTTGTGGAGTTAATCAAGTTGTCAACTGAAAAAAAATAATAAACCTAATTCTTATATATTTGTGTTAAAGCATTTTCATAAAAATAAATGTTAACTGTTGTAATATATTATTTGTGATTAATCAGTAATTCTATAAATAATATTTTGTCTATCAGCTGTATTCTATGATGATTAGAATAATTTCTGTCAATTTTTCGTAGTGGGGGGAATGAATTTTAGCAAGTCCTTTATGTCTCTCAATTTTTCCTTTTTCAAAGTTTTAGATTTATAATATAATAATGACTATTGTATATTATTCAAACATTTTGGTCAACCTGGTACAGACTTTCTTATATTAATAGCTTTAAAATACGTATCTTCATTATAGACACATTTAAATTATATAAGATTGGCTTATATAAGATTTCTAACTTTATCCAGCGTATTTTAAGCAAATTTACTGGACACTCTGTAATGGTTACTTTTCTGTTAGTGATTGTTCTAATGGCTTTGTTGATAAAAAATCTTCGTGGAATATTTGGATTAGCTAAAATGGCGCTTTCCTTTTACATGTTTTTATTATATTGTACCAATTATCTAGTGAAAAAATGTCTCGATTTTTTTTGCACGTGACTCAATAATCTAGAGTCAATATGTAAATAGCTTAAGACAGTTTTAATATTTCTGTTTTGCCGGGTACACAAATTTTAGTATGTAAGTTTGTAACATCCTTGAGACTCTACAGTTTTTTGCCAAACAATCTTAGGGTTTATGTTTTTATCAAATTCTTATTTGTGATTCATGAAACCCGAAAACCGGTCCAGCCGGAACATATGCACTACAAAATGGAGTTAATCAAAATGTCTTCTGAAATAAATGACTTATTATTCAGAGGTCAAAAAAAAAATATGTTTCACAGTGTTAATTTTCATTATTCCGAAAAATCATTATTATCACTAACAGTTATGATTACACTGAGTATTTTCGCACTAATACCTTAGTTTTTTTCAAAAAATGGAGTTAGTCAATGTGTGCACTGAGCGGCTCATATATATATATCAATGTGCTACTATTACCTCAAAATACAATAAAAAAATAACACATAGTTTTTTTATGTTTTCAAGTCTTTATATTTTTTGTAATTTTCGAGCATGGAAAGGGTCTCACTGATTTCGTCGTAAGCTCCAACAATTGCCAGCCATCATGTGTCTCACCTCTCTTGATATAGCTCCTCCAAAGTCCTGATGTCTTGGTGGATTCTCTGGCCGGATTCCCTGGTTTTCTTCTCAATTTCATTCATAGAACTTTTGAATGTGGATTCTTTATGAGTTGACTATATGAGTCAATATATCAGTTTTTAACTCTTGCTGTCATCTCTTTTAACAATGGTCTCTCAATCCATTACATGGTAGGCAGAAGGTTTTGATGTTCTGATCGTAAGTAAACCCCAAGACCTCTAGGATCATAGAGTATGACACTTTTCATCTATTGCCTAAATGTATTCCATTGATATTTACCATACAGAAAAAACAGTTGTTGTGCTAATTCTGAGATTTTTTCTAAATGATGGGGGGTATTAATGTTATAGCATTTCTTTTTCCTTTTGGGCGCTAAGGTAAACACACTATGCAATTTTGGTACATAGTATGAAGAACCCATAATTTATCTTGATTGCGCAAATCAATTTAAAAGTGGTTAAGATACACTGTCTTTACACAGTTTGATATAGGTTTTTGGTATTTGTCGAAAACATATTCACCGCAGATATATCAAAAACTTTCTGGATAATGCAAACAAGTTTGTTATTCATTAAACTGCAATAAACATAGCCAAAATCACTAATGGGGGTAAAAGCAGGAGCTGTTACAGAAGAACGGAAGGTATATTTGAAAAGTTCGTGGTAAAAAACAAAAGTGCCATTTTTGTCACACAGTGTAATCATTAAAGTAAATTTTATATTAAAAAACACACTTGATTTGCAAATATTATTCAAGCTCTAAAAAAAATGTTTAAATAGTAAATGACAAATAAGATATTTTTCACCTCACAAACATTTTAGTATTAAAATTTGTTTTGAATGGTATTAAAAAAATGATATATATGAAAGATATAAAGTTATAAATATAAACTATTAATGTAAACGAGAAACTTTCGTCCAATCAACTGTCTACAAATTACAAATATTCTACTCAACCACTTCTGGATTCTGCATGCATTAAAGTCCTCCAGAAAGAATAGTTTCTGAAGAACAAACATCTCTTACCTGACTCAAATATCAGAATCCATGCACCATTGAAAAACAAAAATATGCCAAACAAAAATTCTACACCATTGCCAAATCCTCTGATGTAGTAAACATAATCATCTAAGGGTTCCCAAAATGTTGTTCTTCTAGCATCGAGTAAAAATAATGTGTATGTGGCTAATGACACTAGAACCTAAAAAAATAATATAATTAATAGAATGCACTCTATTCAATATTTAATATAGTAAATTTAATTCAAATACATATTTCAAATTAGCGAATATAATAAATAAATAAATGTAAAAGACAATCATTCAAATTTTGATGATTGTGACCTCAATTGAAAATTAAATTTGAGTTTATTATATGTTAATTTTTCAATTAAATTTTAAAATTTTTGAATAATTAATTTTGAATAATTTTAACTTTGTAATTCAGTTTATATAATTCATATAAATATTAGTCAATATTACAGTATTTATAATAATCTATCTGAAAACATTTAATATTCCTGGAACATTTTGTTACGATATCAGTGGAGTATTTATAAAATGAAATTGTTGAAAAAAATTAAGGGGGGCGCAAGATTTTTTTTTCATTAAAGCTGGGGGGAGAGGCGATTTGAATATAAGAACACTTTCTTATTTTTTATAATGTGATATGAATAAAAAGTACCTTAACAATTAATTCAATGCTAAAAGCTGTTACTGCTAGAAGCCATGTAGATGTAGGATGCCGAGACCACAGGGCAGCAAGTAATACTAAAGGAGCAAGTACCAGAAACAGACATACCAATAAAGCTCGAATATGACGATTCCTGTAAAAAAGAAATAGCGTTACAATATAAACAGCTATGCAATACGCAAGATGATAAATTATTTTTATTCAAAACAGCTAGATAATATGTAAAATTTGTCACTAATTAAAGAATTTCTTTTATAATTTTTTCTAGACCTTTAACTGAAAATCTAGCAATCTTTGTTTTAGCATTTCATCTCATTGAGATAAAATAAAAAATGTTTAAAAATCTCAAAATTGAGAAGAAAATGATTTTTTTTAAATTTGTTTTTTTCATACATAACCAATTTACCTAGATGGATTCCTGGCGGCACTCAGAGACATCAATAATGGTGATACATTGTTATGTATGTAGTGCAATAATGCTGTGACAAGAAGACACAGATTACGACATAATCTTACAAATCTCTTCTCAGGTGAAAGAGATGTTAAACCTGTTTGTAATGCTAATATATAAAAAACTATTGCTGAAACAGTAGCCATTGATTTGTCTTCATCATCATCAGTTAATAAAAACATTTGAAAGAATTTCCCTATGTAATGCGAAATTAAAGATACTACACTAGTCATGCCCAGTACTGCTGTTACTGTTTCACATCCACATACAAGAAGGGTCTGTACAGCTCCCATAAATGTAATATTGTTTTCTTCAATAATGTTAGATAATTGTTCAAATAATCTAATCATCCAAAAAGCTCTCAGAACACATGGAACATTCAATCTTTGCCACTCTGATTCAACTAATGCAGATAATCCATAATTGCTGGCATAGTTTCTTGCATGTTGAAAGCCTCCATACAAAGTTTCCACGACATCAAATGCTGACACCCACAAAGCAATTTTAACTAAGGCCAGGGGCACTAATGTTGCAATCATAGCAACGTGTTTTAGAAGTTCTCTTGGTATTGGAAACAAAGCTATCGTGAGAGGAAAAAGGAAGGTGTATGGCAACAACTTTTGCATAACTGAATATCTCGGCCCCATGTGTACATATTGGAATGAAAACCCCATTATTAGTTGACCCAGTAAGTGTGAACACAGTTGAAATACTGGACCTTCAGTTTCCAACAGTACACTATAGTTTGAATGGATAACCATTTCTACTAAAGACGGTTTGTCAACCAAAGCCTTGATCAAAGAAACATTTCCTAAGTATGAAAGAACTATTATTGCTATGGAAAGAAGGTACATATACACAACCACCAAATGTTTCGTCCATAATGTAAATATGCAAAGAGCACTTATACAACCTAAAAGAAAGAAGAATCAATAAGTTATCATAAAAAAATTTCAATAATAAAAATATGCAAATATAATTTAATGCATACAATATAGAATTTTTACAGATAAACTGAATATAGTATTAAACAATATAGAATTTATACTGATAAAAAAAATAAGTGAAAAAAAAATTATAACAGTTATCAAACGGGCATTTCGCTAAACGAAAATAACCTTGAAGCCAGCATTTGACAATTAGTATATCACATTATGCACTTTCATCCTCCCAGAGAGGTTAAATGATGGCATTACACAATACAGATATTTAGTATCACACATTTTTAAAGCACAAATTAAAAAAAAAATAGCACATTTACCGAAATTTAAACTCACCCAGACAACATACTATAAATTTGCAGGCTGTCGTTAATAAAACTCTATAAAAATCATTGTCATAAGTTATTTGTTCAGCATCCGTGAGTATCACTTTCGTGACATTTAGGTCCAGATAAGGCTCTTCATTTGCTAGGGGCAGCCCCAGGCCGATTTTGAAAATCTCGTCTAGTAAGAATAACGGCGGAACCCTTAGAATCACGTCAACGAAACCAAGAATTTTTGTTCTTACAGACATTTTTCAGCTGTGTAGCATGGCAGATTTGAAACTTAAAATTTTGATATATTTTTTACACCCATAATTAGAAATATAAACGTCAATATTTGAGGAGCTATATAATGTACTTATTATGACACACTGAAACAAATACTTCATGTATTATAATAGCGTGATGACAGCTTAGATTTTATTTGCGAAATGACATGCCATATTATTTCCAAACCACCTAAACTGTAGGTTTAAGTGAGTGATCTGTTGATAGATGGCGAGGGTGTTTGGGAATAATATGTTTTATTGTTTTTCGTAAAATTAATTTGATAGATATTAAAATAAGTTTTATATTATGTTCAAATATTTATTTGCTTAATTTATATATAGTGTATTTTTTATTGATATATTATTTTCACATCTCAGTCAGGCATAATGATTATGGAACAATTTTCGTAAAATATTTATATTTACTTATGTATATATATATAATCACCTAAGTTACTTATGTACGTAATTGCAAAATACATATAAGCAGTATTATATTCATTCAAAATATTTGATTACAAAATACCTTTGTTTTATTATATTCAATTGCAATTTATTTTTCATTTCAGCTAAGTACACGTTTTTAGAACGCATAAAAATACGTCTAAAGTTATATTTGCAAGTTTTAAAATATATTTGTATTAATTTAATTCTTTTAATAAATATTTTGTACTTGTTGTGCAATTCAGTACCATAATTATTACATGTCTTGTAAAATAATATAGGAAAAGTGTGCACAAAATAAAATGGTGTTTTAATTTTTAATGATATTTATTTATTTTATGACATTATAATCAGTCACAATCGCTTATCTTGATTTCTTTGGTTACCAGAACCATAGTCTATTAATTAAATAGGAACTCTAATAAAATATTTATAAAGGAACAATGCAACCGATTACAAAAACTATTTTGCTCATATAGTATGAATAAAATGACATATAAGGAAAGTACTTACATACTTGGATACTAATTTTTAATGAGACAGTTCAAAAATAAAGCGTTTGATTCTTTTTGTAACATCAGCATATAACTCAAGTATATTTTCTAAATATTGACAGATTATCAAATTATTGATTTATTTTGCCTAAAAATTATTGTCACGTTCTATATATAAAACATTATTCCAAAACCGTATCTGTTTTGTTCGACGTTTTTTGTTTCTGTCTCTGTCTCTGTCTAAAATTAGTAATTAGAAAAAAAAATGAAACATCAAACGAGACCATTTACGATAGTATCATTTTCACAATTGCTTAAATTACATAGCACAAAGCAAAAATTTCTTATAATGCGTTTCTCAAATGATGCGTTTAGAGTCTAAAGACTGTTTTTATATACGCTATGCAAAAAGAATAAGGCTAGCGTCCATGAGAGAATTTTGATATATATCTTATATATAAAATTCTTCTGTAACAATGTAAGTTTCATTAATCCTCCTAAACTGTAATTCGGATTTTCATGAATCTTCCTGAAGTTTGTTCGGGAAATTTTCTAAAATGTTTTGATTCATAGAAATATAGTTAGATTGTAGAAATAAATGGAAAAAATTACAAAAAACCGCTTATCAATGTTTGACCTTTAAAATATTTAATGGTTTGACATTAAAAACAAATGACAACTGTCATTTGCCAAACATTTCTATTCACTTATAGGCTAAGGCAATATTAAAATATAATAAATTCATGATTAAAAATAAAGAAAATGTAATGTCTACCTTATTATTGCCAAAAAGAAGCTGAGATGTGCTAAAAATTAAAATAATATAAGATTTAGTATAAAATACAGTCAACATCTGACAGGTGATGCAGTCTGCGCATGCGTCTCGCGCATAAAACTTAGCCTACAATTCACTTTGACTGATTATTATTTTTTAACTTTTAAATGCAGTCGTGTTTTGCCTTACCTTACTAAATCAAGATACAAAAATAATTTATTTATTCAAACAATTATTTAAAAGTTTCATTGTGTCTAAAATTCATATGTTTGTCATTGGATACGAAATCTTTACTCAAGACAATGGAGCATTTTGGGTCTGAATATTTTTAATGTGCTTCAATTTGCTAGAAATTTTGTAATTAGGTTCATCTTACTCTCAAGTTTAAAAATAAAAATAATTTAGAATCATTTGCCACTTCCCGGGGGGATGACATCTCTTTTCAGTGGTTCAATTGTATCTCTTTCAAACTAACGTCGGTTATCGATAAAAGAACTAATTAAAATAGAAAAATGTTTAATAATGTTTTCCAAAAAAGAAATTATTTTTCAAGTTACTGGCTACTGAAAATTTGTTGTTTTTTGCGTTTTTCATCGTTTTTTGCAATTATTTCTAAAAATATACATTTAAACGAAAATCATGTAATGAACAAAATTATATCAATCAAAATCCTAATAAATCGGTGTTCTATAAATTGTTCTAGGAACAATATTAAGCTAGATATGAAAATGGGGTTTTATAGTACTCAAAATAAGTTTTAAAATTAGTACTTCTGCGTGTAAGATGAGTGAGCTATCATGCAGATAAAAGACGCATACAATATTTTTTTCGTTTAAAGCAAATAGTTTTTGAGTGCCATTTCCACCAAAATTAAAAATAATCGTATTCCCTCTGGAATCAACTTGGTTTAAGAGATTTTGACGGGTTCTAGAAAATACCATAACTTTAGTGCAAAGGATTTCCAAAATGCTCATGATTTCATGAAAAAAAATCTATTTAAAAAAATAAAAAATACGTATAAAGGTATATAAATGAAAATTCAAGGTCTTTTACTGACCAATTATTGCTTTTTATTATTTTTCTGTTACACAAATATTGATAGTGTACAACCAGAGTGTCTTTCGAGTCCTTCAATCCTTTGCCATTTCAAAATAAGAGAAGTTACGGTAAAATTTATGATAGAGAAAGTTGTAGCTCATTTAATTACCTTTAAAATAGTGTATTGCAAGTATTGATAAAACCAGAATTAAAAGAGTTATAATTCAATTAATCCGGTGGGTGGTGACGGAGTGCAAATTGTTTTTACTTCTGAACTTACGATTAAGATTAGCCTATTTCCGACACACGGTTTTTTCCTCTCCATTTACTGCAATTTTGTTGATCGTAGGTTGAATAGAGCACATGTGAACAGGATTTGACAAATTAATTCACTTCAAATATAAACTTAAGTAATAATGTATATAAATTTATTAGTGAGAAAAATGTAATTTAGATATAAAAATTACTAAAAGCCAGTTGAAATATGGTACAAATATATAAAAATTATAGGCAACATTATTGAAGCCATTATTTTGGGTAGAAAAAACCAATGTGATATTGTACCTTTACCGGGAATGCTATTTATTAATTCTTTCTGGATTTGTTATACCCTTTAAAAGACTTCAATTTTCAACACGTGTAAAAAATGCTATAAATCACAAAGGCATGCGATGATTTTTTGGAAAGTCAATGTTTTAGTCGTGAATAAACAAAAAATCATTCATTTTTATATCCACACCTACAAGTATGACTAAAAAATTGTATAACCCTTGACATTAAAATAAATTGAGCTATTGGAAATAAATTTGCGGTTTAAATTGCAGTGTTTAATTTTTATTATATAATTTTATTGAACATATTTCAATATTTGTTAAAGGGATAATTAAAGTATTAACTGTGGGAATTGAGAATCATCATTTTATTTTAAGCAGTTCTGCAGTCACTCATTTATTGATGTAAATAGTAATTCGAAAAACAATAATTATTAATTTTAACTGAACGGTAAATATTTGTACATGATATTGAAAAAATGCAGAATTGGGTACAGGACAACGTCTGTCGGGTCATCTAGTATATATATATATATATATATATATATATATATATATATATATATATAAACCTCGTGTCACGATGTTGGTTCGCGATGGACGTCCAAACTACTGAACCGATTTTAAATTTCATTTCCTCATAGTGTGCATATATATCCAACTTAGGTTATAGGAAATTTTGAAAAGTAAATTTAAGATATAAATATATAATTTTTATAAATTTGTAAAAATTTTGACAGAAAATGACTAAAAAAAAAACAAAAAACTAAAATGACAAATGTCAAAATTTATGAAAAATTCGAGAAAAAAATTTGTTTTTTGAAAAAAAATATTTGACAGTTAAAAAAATATAATTCAAAAATATATAGATATATCCAACATTTATATCCAAACTAGATGAAATGCTATATTCAAAATCACTGTTTATAGTTTTAAATCTAATTAAAAATCAATGTTTATGAATTTAAATAAATGTTGACATGAAAAAATTGATGTTATTTGTCAATATTCATGAAAATAATTAGATAAATAGATTTATACTTTATATTTATTTGATTAGCTTACCAAATTATTTTGGATACCAAGACTTCATCAAACCATTATAGATCACAATAAAAAAGCGACATATTGAATTTAAAATTAATCATAAAACAAATTTTGACAGTTCAAAAAAAAGAAGAAATGTAAAAAAGCAAATATTTATATAAAAAATTGTATATTTAGATAAAGATACTGCATTGATTTATACTAAAATCTAATTTATTCATTAATTAAAAAAAATGACATAAACAAAATTAAAATAAACAAAACACTATGATGCGTTGAATTATTTATCGAAGTGTAAAGAAATTTGTGTAATTGAAATATAATATTATTATTAATACATCAGTTGAGATATATTTTGATTGTCATCGCAAATGCTAATCTTACAGAAAATTGTAACCTCTTAAATAGAATAGTACAATCTGAGGGTATCATTGGAATCTGATAAAAACAAACTTGACAAACTATATATATTATATCATATTATATTAAATTTTGACCGAAAAGAAAATATTTTGACAGTTATAATTAAATTGAAATAAAATGCAAATGTCAAAAATCAGATCTTTATGTAAAAAATTATTTATTTCCACAATATTCCTGTGTTGATTTAGCCAAACCTATGAATTTAACAATTATATAATTTATACATTTATGACTTAAAATAAGTATTAATTTATTAAAAAATAAATAATAATTAGATATAAGGTCATTTAATTATAGATATTTCTTAGTTGAAACATGAAAGAAAATATATTTCTATATATCATATATATATATATATATATATATATATAT